GAATCTCTTTTTAATTGATAAGTAGCTCTTCTTTCCTTTTTAATTTTCTCCTGTTTTTACACAGTTAGACATATCACAACACTCTTCCCTTCTCACAGGTCCCAGTCTCTGAATGCTCACTGTCCTTCAGTTATTTATTATGGGCATTAATCATTATAAGTGTTTTCTTTGCCAGTATGTTTTGTAACAATGTGTCAGCAATAATACAAGGCCTGGATTACTCTGTAATGCTCAAGTTTGCTAGCTCGAGGCATTGGCTTCACTCACTAAACATCTCAGGAATTTGGCACAGCTAACACTAACTATGCAAGGAAAATCTAGTAGGAGTGCCTTGATAAAGAAAACCAAACATAACCAAGAGTCAAACAGAAGGACAAGAGGCAAATGCTGGAATTGCAAAACAGTGTAAAAGATTATAATTTTATCCTACCTCATTTATAAATAAATATAGGTACAAATTAGGTTCCAGAGGCAACAACAAATGAAAAATGGAGGTACCGATGCTTTCTTTGAGCCACTACTGTCTGCTTCCTGATTGAGCAGTGAACAAAAATTCAATGAAATGATTATGCAAATAGAGAAATCCATCAGTCAAAAGAGACAGAGAGGAAAAGATCATTGCAGAGCCTACCTGGGGTTTTAGCCTCCAGCATGATCACAAAATCCCCCCATGGCCACGGGACACCCACAGTGCTTTGGGGTTTTTAATGAATCCTTCTGCTAAGATGCCTTGTAGAAAACACACATCATTGGGCTTCAGGGAGAGATTTGTGCTGTGCAATGGGCAGTAAAGTCAGTTCAAGGATACTTTACATCCACATTGTACTCAGAAACAATTTCACTGTGAGTGAACATCTGGCCAAAAATCCAAATTAAACTTTGCTAAAGAGACTAGCAAATATAGGTTTGCATCAAAAGAAAAGGAAAAATGTGGCTCATCAATCCTTTATGGGAGAAAATGAATGCTTTAATAGGGTTTAATCAATATTTACTGCCCCTCAGTAGCACTCTACAGTTGTGTAATAACAGCAGTGTTAACAAGCCAAATGAGAATAAGGCCATTTAGTTGGACAAAACTGCAGGATCAGGCCCTTAAGCTTAGGCACTCAAACGCATCCTAAAAAATAACTTCACTTACAGTAATTATATTGCAGTGCCCCCTGAACAGAAAATAGATCAGAAATAAAAACCCAGCTTTGTAGGAGCAACTGCTAAGAGATGTCTACATAGATATCTGATGGACACATCACTGAAGAGTGGAATTTTTATTCAAGGAGAAGATCAGCTCTTTCAATGAATATCCTCCCACATGTCTCAATGTCTCCTCAAATATGTCCAAGCAATGCCTGAAATTCTCTACTCTTCAGTAGAGAGGCTGGACTCAATAAGAAATAACCTCATTAATTTTGTGACACAATATGCTGAAGTTTTCTTTTTGCCTTTTCAATCCTGCTATGTATTTTGGGTCATGCTAAATGATTTCAGTTACATTATGTCCCTGTAATATATTTTAATATCTTTAGAATCTTACGTGGATTGAACTCATCAACTACTTAAATGGTAAGCAAGGGCAAAACAAACTAAAGGGAATTACATTTCTAAAGATAAATCTTTCTTAAAAAGCATTTTAAAAATCTGATTTTGAAAATTATGAATGCATTGTGACTAAGCTGATGAAAGAAAAAAATACCTTCATCAAAAACCAAGTTTGTAGAGTGCCATCAAAACAAATACTTCAAGGGAAATATTTTGGAAAGAAGAAAATTATACAGCAAAAGTTTTTCAAAATTAGTTGGTAAGAACATTTCTGAAATAATCTAAAATGTTTAATAGCAAATTATACCACTAGATACTATTCAAATGCCATATGAGGATACATACTAGGTCTGGCTAGGACTATAAATCCTGAAGTGCTTCAGTGCTTTCTGTCCAGATGAGGTAACAGTGATGGCCCAAAACCACATGACACCAATGGCCAATGGAAGAAAGCAAGTTCTAAACTGTGTCTTTTTCGTTTAGCAAAAGTAAATGAGATGGACACAAAAAATCCTACCTGAAGAATAAGACAGAGAGAAATGCAGTCCTCTGAAGCCAAATAAAACGATCAAGACAGGAAACTTTATAAAGCTTTTTCTCCACTTGAAGCAGAAACCCAGATGAGTATATTATACATGCAAGAAATAAGGGCATGAGCAAAATTTTGACAAGTGGGTTGATGGAATAAGATTGGATTTCCACAAAGCATTCAGAACAGATGAGTTTTTGGATGAGCTTGCAGAACAGCCTGATCTTTAAAAGGCTTGTCAGAATGCCAAACCGGGATGATCACCCACTGAAAAACAACCTTCCAGGATATGATACTAAAGACACAGAGAACAAAATAATTCCAAAAAGATTTTCATTAATTTAGCCAGAACAAAGTCAATAATCCATGACGTAAATGTTTCTTTCTTCACCAGCTTGTTAAAAGTGCTAAATTCTCCCCTAGAAAAATACTACAGCTAGAGGTTGACAGAGATTAGCTTATTCTTCTGCAAAGTCATTAAATAAATAATTAACCAACGATAGCTGGGAAGTTACCTTGACAACAAACAATTATTAATATAAGACTGCCCAAGGGAGAATGAGGCAGGGATTTCCAAACTGTGGTGTTAATCAAAGTACTTCAAAGGAACACAAAGACTCAGTGCTGGCAGGCGGTCACTGCCTCTGGTGGATTCATGCAGCCTGACATGGAGCTTGGAGCTCCTGCAACCTCTGGCAACGAGGGCAATTCAGTGATGTACTTCTGTACAGCAAAAGGTCAGCAGTATTTTTTTTTTTTTAAGCAGGAAAAGGGAAACAGAAAATTGCAAGTACCTGAATTACAGGACCATTAATAACAAGTCGGTCACACTCAAATTAATATGAGTTGTATGTCCATAACGTGTTACATAAGATGTTTTGGCAAAACCCATGAAAAATAAATGCAGCTATGGAACATTTCAGGTATAACAACTGCACATGACAAACACATCCTGTATTCATTCTGTAGACACTTAAAAATATACTGGGGACAGCTAATTTGGAGACCTCTCACATGTGCTCTCTGTCTTTCATGCCAATGCAATTGAACATGAAAGTTACAGCATCAGCTGCCAAAAACATTTTACCTTTGTACTTCTTCATCTCTCTTGTCTTTAAGATCATAGAGAAGGAACTAATGGGCAAAGCATAACATTACCACACCATTCTCTCAAAGACAGTTTCTAAGGTGGTATAAAATTTCTGGAAGACAGAAACTGAGAATGTTTTGTGTCCCAAAATCCACATCTGGAAATCAGTAGGACAAGACTCCTTATCTAAAGTTCCTTATCAATTAAATTCAGTAACAGAATATGAGGCTGACGGTGTTAGCAAACCAGATCCCAGTTGCCAGTTTGCAAATTTGAAAATTAGAACTTGCTCACTGGGCTGTCAGAGCCCTTCAGATGAGTCTCTGAAATAGATTATGCATAAACCAGCATAGGCAGCAATACTCAAAATCCTGCTGTAATGGAAGATTATTCCCCAATGAGTGATTTGTTGGTGCAGCATAGATAATTTTTCATCATACAGGAAATTGCTTTGATCCTCTGAAATGAGCAGTCTTTGTTCTCATTACAGCACAACTAACAAAGATCAAAAGTGTCTTTTCTTTCTGAGCCAAGGCAGACATAGACTTTCACCTGTGCAGAAAGAATACAGCCACCTTCAGAACTACAGGGGGTGTGTTTGGCTTTTCCCAGACTTTGCCATGGCTAGGACAGACCCTGAGCCAGCAGAGCATTTCTTCAAGGAAGAACTGTTCATATCTGCCCCTTAAAGGGTTTCATTCTCTGCAGCTACAACTTTTTAGTAGGGTGCAAATAAGTAAAATTAACACCTCTATCCCTTGGGAAATCTTAACCCACTTCCATCCCTGACAATCTCCCTGTCTCTCCTGGTCTGAAACTCTTCCAAGCCAGGACAGGATTCCATCTTGCAGGAGCCCTGACCTCACACACCCTCCTGAGCAGGCTGCAGCAGCCCAGGCTGGTGACAGCCCCTCCCCAAGGCTACCCAAGCCCCCTCCCCATCATTCCACCACGCACACCCACACTGGACAGCCCACAGGCTCAACCACGGCATCCTCACTCCACCCATCTCAGTTTAAGACTAAATTTGCAATTAAATGTTTTTTAAGCGAGTTTATGTTTTAAGTCACGCTAAAGTTTATACCTACATTCAACACCTTCAACAGTCATACAAATGAGATTTTTAACTATGTCTAAAATAAATCAAAACATACAAGTCCTATTGAAAGTCCAAGGCCTTTGTTTCTGAATTATTGCACTATCATTGGAAATAGCACCTATTAAATAATATTTAAATTACTGCAAGAAAAATTCTGGTATCTGGGACAAATTGCCAAGAAATGTCAAGATGTTGCTAACACCAGAGTCAGATGTGTTACCAAAACCTGAAACTTGAACTAGCAGTGCATATTTTATACGCACAGACAATTAGCAGCTGCTGGAGACTTCTGAGACTATTGAAAAGGGACAGACTGAATACATCAGCTTGATTCAGTCCATTACCTAAATATGAAATGCTCTGCAGCCCAATACCTATCAGAGTTCTATTATCCTCCCAGATTAACTCTTTCACAACAGATGTTTAATAAGCATAAATGCAATAAGCAGCAATATCACAGGACTATAATGGCATGACATTTTTCAAATATAAAAAGATTCTTAAGAGAATGAAACATGCAGAATCAGCTCTGAGTTAGTGCAACCATTTGCTGATACTTCATGGATGTAACATCACATCTAAAGCACTAAGCACTGGGAAATAAAATAAATTAATAAAGTCAAGAAACATTGACCAGATCAGATTTATCTGTACTCATTTCCTTCCTCCTCTGAATTAATACACAGAAAACTGTCCATTGGCAAATTGTTAAGATGGACTTTTTTCCGCTGTGCACAGCTACTGACCTGCAGCATCTGAAGATAGCCTTCCTGTGGATCACACAGCAGCGATGATATTCGGTGGTTGTTCCTCATGCACCTCTGGTTGTTGTCCCTTGCCAGAGGGAAAATCTGCCGGATCACTGTCATCCTCCCCAGAGCACTATGCACCAGCTCTAATATTTCATTATCAGTGATTTCCTGTGAACAGAGACACGGCCATTTAAGAACATAGGTTTCTTCAGACATTTTATATATTTCTTTCATTATTGATTAAATGTTTTTTTATAAATACAATAGGAGAAATATTTTGCAGATGCACATGCTTAGTCTATGCCAAATCTTATTTTGTGTTTAATAACAGCAATGCTGTTTTTTATACATCATCTGAAACAAAAGAAAACAGCCTAACACAGTACCATCCATCTTGGCAATACTACAGTTTTGCAGATGTAGTTCCTCAAAGGAAAGCACCAAAATGGTCTCAATAGATCTCTTAAAAAAAAAAAAAAAAGGCTTGAAATTAAATTTATATAGAAAGACCTTTTGTTTGACAGACTAGAACCTCACTATATCCTCAGGACAAAATAACAATCGAAAAACATAACAGTCTTCAGGAAATATGGCTATTTCACCTGTGAACAACATTACAAGAAAGCACTTTTCCCATAAGTACAGTAGATCATTTCTGCAGACTAATCCTGATAATGACTCAAGGAAGTCTTTTGAGGTTGTCTGTATTAGGAAATAAAAAATAGAAGAAACTTTATGGAGGGATCTGACACATTTAGGAACATCAGTTTGTCCACACAGAAAAATTTGGGAGAAGATATAAGGAGACCTCAAGGACAGCCTGCTTTTCTTTCCAGGCTTCACAATTTCTAAAGCTTCTCTGCAGACCTTTACAGGCCCCAACTTCCTAATCCATCCTGGGACAGAGCCTGCATCTACTGCTCTTACAGGGAGGCTGGAGCCAGGTCCTCTCCATGCTTTATACATTTTGTGTTTAAAGACAGACACAAAAACAAAACCTCTTTTTTTTTACCCCAGTTTGAAAATCACAGGCTTAGCTGATCCTGAAATCATAACAAAGAGGCAGCTTGTGATGTTTTTGTCCTGGCAGGAGTTCACTATGAGGAAAGACACACAGAATCACAAATCTAACTGCTGCCTGCCCTCACCCCCCAGGCATCTGCTCTACATCCCAGGTCCTCAGCAGGGCCACCAGCAGCATCTGCAAATCACATCAGCCCATCCCCAGCACAGCTGGACTGCCCTGGCTGCACAGCTGGACCAGCCCAGTGCCCAGCCTGCACAGGGCTCTCTCTGCCCCTTGCAGCTCAGGGGGCTGCAAATTACTCATGTTGCTGCAGGTGCTTGGTCAATGGGCCCACACCTTGTGATGCATCATCAGCAGATGTGAGCCTGGCCCTGGACTTTTAACATTCAAGAAAAAATAATTTTGTTTTCTTGCCATTTTTTGTCAAGCTGTGAAGGAAATGACCATGGGGTTATAATAATTACTTGTTATGGTTGACTAGTACTGTACCTTGGCTCAACACAGTTATTTTTTGCCAATTTCTCCTTTTTTTTTTTTTTTGTTAGGAACATGAATTTTTAACTTTGCAGAAGGTGACATTCATTGCATTAATGACAGACCAACTGGTGTGGCATGAAAACAGTAAATCAGAACACAAATATATTCTTAGAGAATACAAAGGTTTTGAGGCTTAACAGAAAATGCTGGGCAGCGTTTTCTAGCCTCACAAAGAGGCAATGCAGCAGACCCCCAAGCTATACAGACTCCTCAAGATCTGGATCTGAGGGGTGTTAAAACACACCTCTAAGCTGAAGTCTGAGGGAGAGACAATTTAATGGCATAACTTTAACCCATAACCTCCTAGGCTGCATCCCTTGGTAGGCACACTCAGACCAAATGGCTGAAAACTGAAAAAACAAAGAATCACACATCACCCAAACCTTCAGTTCAGCTCTCACCACACACATATTGTGTCCCCTCTAAGTGATACACAGCCTTTCAAAGATGGGCAGAAACACAAATATTGGCCACTTGTGGAATTAATTTATCTGTTTATTTATCTGCACACACAGAACTTCAGTTAGTTTGCAAAACCACGTCATATTGCTCAGGGGAATACTTAAATCTGCTTTAGTTGTGCTCAACTATCATAACACAAATCGCAGAATGAGACAATTATGTTTCACATTACAATCTCTATTTTCCTAGAGGTAATGACAGAAAATTATAAATTTTAATGGCGTTAATAATTTAAAGAACTGAAACATATTTCCAGAAAATATATCCCTGAGAAACTGGAGGATTAAAAAGAACAGCAGTAAGAAAAAAGATGTTCATGGAGACAAGTTTGAGATTTATTTGGATTTTTTCAGTAGTATCAATACTGTTTGATGGATTATTCTAACTCCCCTCAATGCACTATTTACATCTATAAATGAAAACTTGTTGAAAATCCAGAAAACATTCAATCAGCTATTTTTTGAGAATGTTCATCACAGCTTACCCTGGAGGTAATTTGTTCAACATTTACATATTGCTGGCTTCTCTGGATCCCACATGAACAGATGCACACACACATGTAAATATACACACATATATGCAAATAAAAAGATTGATCCTTCAAAGAAAGAACACCATTCACTTTTCCTACCACAGAAAATGTTCTAATACAATGATGAATTCTAATGGTCTGTGCATAATCACCTGTCCAACTCCCATCCTCATTGCCCTCCCACACATCCAGTACTACACCTTACTTCTTTTTACCCAATGCTCCTAAAAGTCTCTACAGGGATGTCCTAATTTAATTAGCTCTATTTCTAGATATAAGGACCCTGCACTGGGTGTCCAGATGTCTTTCTCAGATCATAGTGAGTGCTTATACAGTAAAAGATCCTCTGATTTAACAAAATATTATTCCATACTAAAAATTCTCCTGGGGATGGGGGGGAGCAGGGTGGACAGCACACAAAATGATAGTAAAACCTGGACAAAGCAAACAAAAAACCCACCACTGATATTAGTGTGGGAAAAAATATTATTATTATTATTATTATTCACTGAATTCCCAACTCATCAAGGCTCATCTATGAGCTTGCTCCTAGCTGACTGAGACTCTTTCCGTGTAACTCCACAGCAGTAGAATCAGACCAGTTCTAAAATCTACACATTCCTTTGGGCATGATGCAAGTACATATCCAGTACTGGTTCAAGTCTATGTATAACTTTCAAGCAGTTATCAGAAAAAGAAAACCCACAGATTTCTGTGAGAATAAATAAATAAATATAAATGCTGCAGTGTTGAAGATTGCAGCCAAAAGGAGAGAAGTGAGATTTCCTTAGGCAAGTAATAAATATAGAGTACCTGGAATACAATCAGAATAAATTGTAATTGCAAATTGCTACATTTTGCATTGAAATGTGTCATTCCCTAAATCTTCTGAAATTTCCACACTGTGTTCCTTGTATTTCTATTCTATTTTTAAACTTTTTTTACTCTGTATTTTTGTACAATTTGAGAATATCTTAGAATGTTTGCCCCACTTGTATTTGTAAATGATTATTAAACGGTCTGAAGTTTTCCAAGAAAAAGTAAGATATAGGCAAGTATTAATAGTTTACCAACTTCTGGTTATCAAAGTAAACACAAATATCATTACACAGATTGGTGCTTTAAAATGAAACAAAGAAAATAAGATTAGGCACTTCCATATGAAGGAAAAAAGTGAGCAGGACCCCAGTCCTGGCTCTACCCAAGCAAAAATTAGGCCACAACAATTTGCATGGACTGTTGATCACCCAAAATGCAATAACATAGGCATTTCTGGAAAAATATTCTCAAAAAAAGTGAAGAAAAACCACTTCATTCATATGTTTTTTTTCTCCCAAAGTGAGTTTTACCAATATTGCTCTACAGGCATGTGCTAAGAAAACTCTGCTCATCACTCATTATCTTACACCTGCCTACATGCTGCCCTTGGGGAAAAAAGTATCTTGCTGAGCTAGACTTTATCTGATAATTACTATTCTATTTTCTGCTCATTTTTCTCAACTTTCAAAAAATATTTTATAAAGGAAAATAATAAAGAGGTGCCCAGATGACAGCTGAGAAGCCATTTGATTCTCAAATCAAGAGGACCAGTAGTACCTACAGACATACTGGGCATGTCTGATGTGGTGAAAGGAAAGAAGACAAATATTGGCAGAAGCAACAGAAGTGCAGGATGGAAATGGAAAGTAAGAAGTATGCCACACCAGGGGGTTGATGAGACATTTTCTTGTCCCTCATATAGAAAACTGCCCCCTATAGACACTGAAACAGTGGTGAAGGGAGACCTATGAAAACAGCAGAAAAAAGAAGTAAGCTTGAGTGCAGAGAAGGATTAGCAGAAAGATATTCTGAGTGAATGTCCTGAGAGGGGAAAGGAAAAGCATTAATAGCCATTTTTCTGCACTATGCTCTGACTGATCACCTGGGCTGAGCTTGAGAAAGTTTTATCTGTCCACTGAAGATCTATAAATTCATCTACTGGCATCACCACCAGCATCATTTGGAAAGCATCATCTGTCCAAAAAGGAAGAATAAGGTCAACTGCTGTCTAAAATTTTTGACTGGTATTCCAGTGATGAGGACAATGTCATCTCCACATGGCCCAGAGTTCCCAAAGTCTCTTAGCACTCTAACTTCCTGTCTAAGGCTTCTCTGATGAATTGTCTACTCTTGCTATATTTCCAAAATTTTTTATTGCTTTTCTGGCAAAAAAAAAAAAAAAATTCCAAGAACTTTTTTCCCACATCACTTTTCCCTTCTCTTTCTCAGCTAAGAAGGCTTTTCTGACAAATATCAAAATAGTTGGGAAGAGAAGAATTCAGCCAGATACATTAGAGCTGCATTTGCTTTAGTAGTTTCTCTGTGCTTACTGACTCAAATCAGGATCTTTACTGAGGATTGAAAAGAGAAAATATTAAAAAGCAACTTTTTCTGGGTGTTAATCAGAGTTTAGTTTTATTTTTTAATTAAAGCTTACAAGAATTTCAGGTGTTTCTTTACTACGGAATACTTTGTTTTCCTGTGGACTTGGAATTTGTATTATATTCTATTTCTACAACTATTTGTTTCAGATTTCTTATTGAAAAGAACTTTCCACCAATAAAACATTAG